AGTGGCGGCTGTACCAGGGAAGCCAAAATCTGTGCCTTGTTCACTAACCTCTTGTCTGTATTGGCCTCCTCTGTCCTGTCTCAGTTATTCAAAACCTTGAAGGCCTCCTCCACCAAGGCTGTGAGCAGGGTCTGAGAGCGGTCCTCTTAACTTTCCTAGCTTCCCCCTAATATCAGAGGCAGTCCGGACGATAAAAGGCTCGGCTGCCTCTGGGTCTCCCATGGGGTGTGTGTGTGTGTGTGTGTGTGTGTGTGTGTGTGTGTGTGAGCGCGCGTGCAAGGCCTCTAGCCCTGGTTTAGAAAGACAGGGGGATTCTCATCCTCCTCCTGAGTTCTGTCCCACACTTGGTCGTAACTAACTGGTTTCCCCATGCACTTCCTCAACCCTTCAGAAAGGCAGGTAATAAAGGGCCTCACCAGCACCCTGTCGGTTCTGCCCTCAGGATCCCATTGTGGGTCCCAGTCAGGGATAGCGTTTCCTCCTACCCAAAGTGCTCTGTCTCCTGGGTTGGCAGACCCCTGTCAGCAGAATGCCCAGCTTTCCTAAGGATCTCGTCCCACTCATCTAGGGTGCAACAGTGAGACGCGACTGTGATGCCATCTGTCAGCTGAGGGATGTGAGATTTAACTTAATAAATGCATCCCTAAATGGGAGACGGTTTTTTGGAAGAATGACCAAACTTTTCCTTACATAGCCCCAAGTCTGTGAGGGAGAAAGAGACAGGAACCCCTCCCTCGGGTACAGCACTTCCCCAAGGGGAACCAGATCCTGCTGGGGCCTAAGTCTGTGGTCCTGCTGTGGGTGCCAGTGAGGCTCACTCCAGAGGAGGGCGTGGAAGCTCCATTTGAATAAGGAGGTGGGGAGCTGGTGGAGAGGGAGGGGAGGTTGTTTGAGTCAAAGTTGCAGGAGTAGAGGGGGTTGGGAGGGGACTCCAGTGAAGGAGCACTAGGTCCCAGTTGACTGGAACAGGGGATCATTTAAAATGTCTGGTTTCAACCCAGCAGTGAGTGGATGGGTGCCTGTGGTAGCAACAAAGCCTACCACAGACTCTACAAGACTCTACCAAAGACTCTACAAGAGTCCCTGAATCTGGGGTCTTGGTATTTCTCTCCACTTCTGAGATCTTTTGCAAAACAACCCCAATTGCAAGACAGTATTAAAATTTAATGATCCATTTTGGGGCCACTATTCCTGGCCCCCCAAGTTATATTGGGACCAGTGCTAAAAATAATAATAGTAATTTCCTTTTCTTCAAACCATCCAATTTAAATTGATCCCTTCCTAGAAGGGAGTCCTTTATCACATCTAAGGTGTTGCCCAGCTTGGGAAGTTGAACAAATCTGGTGACATAAAAAAGGTGAAAGCTGACTAGCAGATGTAATCCATGGGACTTTTAAAGAAACCCAGGAAAAAGACCAGCCAGAAGGAAAGCTGGGGAGGGGCTAAGAGCGACGGGGACGGGGACAGTCAGAGTGGGCTCAACCCACCAGTGACCAACGCCAGGGAGGTGAAAGTCAGGGGACCCGGGACACTCAGGCTGGGCTCAGCCCACCAAAGGGTTCCCCAGTGACCCGCAGGGGACCAACACTGGGGCGGAGAGAGTCAGAGGGCGGAGGGACACTCAGGTCGTGCTCAACCTGGGACCAACAACGGGGAGGGGAGAGTCAGGGGACACTCAGACCAGGCTCAACCCACCAGAGGGTCCTCCTGTGACCCGCGGGGTACCAACATCAGGGAGGGGAGAGTCAAGGGGCGGGGGACACTCGACCCAGGAACGCGAGGCCAAAAAACCTTCCTCCGCCGGAAAATTCAAACCCAAGCGACCGAGGGGCCAAAACAGGCGAAGCAGTGCTCGAGGCCTGACTGAGGGGGCAGAGTCGCTGAGGCAGGAGGCACAACTTACCGCCGCCGAGACGCCGAACTAGAGCTGCAGGCCGCTCACCAGTCCCAAGGGTCAGAGGGGCTCCATCCGCCGTCTGCCGGCTCTGGGTCCTCGGGGACTCACCGGGGCTCTCTCTCGGGGTCCCTGCGTGGTCGCCAGAATACGTTCCCGACCGCAGGGCTCTTTGGCTTTCAGCGCAAACAGAAACTGACATGAAGCCGAGAAAAATGCGGCAGCGTTTACTGGGGGCTGAGACTGGGAGCAGAAGTGCCCGCCGGCTCCCCGAACAGCCGGCGCTCTGCAAGGAAGCTGAGGCGGGGAAAAAGGGCACCCGGCTGCCAGGGCGCCGAGCCGCGAAGTTGCGCCAGCGCAGCGGGCGGCACAGGCCCCGCCCCGCGTGTCTCATTAGCATGTCAGGTCTCCGCCCCCCGGCCGCCGCGAGTGTTCGGATTCCACAGAGGGAGGAGCCGGTGACGGGTCAGTGCCGGGGTCGACCGCGGCACAGGCTGGTTTAGGCCGGTTTCTCCCGCGGAGTTCTTTCTGGCAAACGTCGTGCTTCCGCGTTCCTATGAGATACACTGCTCAAAAAAAAAAAAAGATTGCTCAACCTTTTCTTCTTAGGTGACACGCTGGGAGCCTTGGGCTTTGTGGTTAGTGAGGGGAGAGATGGGGTCGGAATGCAGCCCCTATTCTATCTCGGGACCACTTTTAATGGCAAAGTTAGGAAGGGTCTCCTTAAGTGATGGACTTCCTTGAGGACTAGGAAAGAATCAGAACGTTTTGGGGGCCACCTGCTCGGGGCGCCCGCATGACTCATCTCCTAACTCCATCCCCTGTCTCATTTCCCATCTTAAGGTAGTTTGGAGAAATTTAAATGCTTATCCCAAGTGATTTTATTAATTTTAGAAGCGATTTCCCACAGTATACCCCCCAAGCCCCCCCACCCTTCCCTCCACCAACACACACTCGACTCTCAGAGTCAGAACCTTTCTGAGGCGGTCAGGGTTGAGTTCGGCATAGGTGAACCCGTTTAATGATACACAAACCTGCTCAAAGCTTTACTGTACAGAATGCCAGAACACTGCAAGGCTTCAAGTTGCTCAAAATCAGCACAGGAGTTATTGGTGACAAAGGGAAGCTGAAAGGACTGCATTTTAGGAAGGCTCCATCTCTGCCAGGCCCCACGTACTCATGTTCGATATCTCACCTTGCATCTGAGTGAGCCAAAGAAGCTCTGTTCCCACTCCAAGGGGGAGGCAAGAAAGTGCATCATTCTGAGTTTCCTCCTAGGCCCCTGTACACCTGATAACATCTGAGAAGAATGTTTCAGGACATTAGCTTCCAAACAAACCTCCGTTTTCACTGGTGTCAACATCCCCCACCTTTGGTGATTTATGGAATAACACCTGATGCTTTTGATTGGACCCTACCCTAGATTCCTTAAGGAACATGCACCCCGGACCCCTTTCCAACATAAATCCCCATAGGAAGAGGACACTCCCTTCAGTCTCCCAGACACTCTGACTGCTCTACTCTTGTCACACTATTCCGTAAATGCTGCTCTCACTTTTTTCCCAGCTCACATTTGATTTCTATCCTGCTCGAAGCCCAGGACCCTCTTGGCGGGTCTCTGGACCTGGCCTGCTGAATCATGAGCAGCCCTGGTTCTCCGACTGGACTTGCAGACCTGTGTTTTTGGTTAAACCTGTTCAAACAATATTGTAACAAGAGAACCAAAAATAAAAACACATCCACGTTCATAACCCAGTCTTGCATCTTACCGAGTCAGCTAGTTCAGTGCCCCGTACTTTCCAGAAGGTGGCCATGTGTCACTGCCTTAAGTTTTTAAATATTCTTTGTTTCAGCCTACTTTTTACAATTGGATTACTTACCATTTAGACCATCACTTTAGATACCTGACTCCTGACTCTGTCCCAGGATTCTCTATCCTGGTTCTCAACCTATGATTTGCAGATTTTGGCGGGGGGTTAGGTGGCGGTCCCTGATATACTTTCAAGGAGTCTGCAAGGTTAATACTATTTACATAATAATAATATTATTTGTTTTTGCTCTCATTCTTTCACTAGTGTACAGTGAAGTTTCTAGAGATGACCCAGCTTGTGATACCCCAACATTCAGTGCAGACACGCATGTGAGGGTCCAGCCCATCTTCTAGTAAAAGCCAGATATTAGATTTGTAGAAAACTTAAAGAATGCCACACTTCTCAATACAATTTATTTTGCCTTGGAAACAATTTTCATAAAACATGTTTTTTATATTAACTTATAATGGGTTTATTATTGCTATTTAATATGTCATAAATACATTTTAAAATGTCTCAGTTTCCATCTGCGATGCCATAAATACGGGCAGATAAAACCCAAATGAGCAAAAGCTCTTTGGGGTCCTCAATAATTTTTATCTATTTATTTTTTAAGATTTTATTTATTTAGCAAGAGAGACAGCAAGGAGTAGGAGGAGGGGCAGTGGGAGAAGTAGAGGGAATCTCAGGCAGATTCTGTTCTGAGCACGGAGCTGAATGAAAGGCTCAATTTCACAACCCTGAGATCAAGACCTGAGCCAAAACCAAGCGTAGGACACTCAACCGACTCATCCACCAGGGCACCCCCCTCAATAATTTTTAATGTCTAAAGGCAGCCTGAGGTCAAAAAGTTGGAAAGTGCTGCTTTTCCCCTTGAACCTGAACCTGGGGATCTACCTGGTTCAGTACTCACCTGCTCAGTAGGGACCTTAAACCTCAGGCCATACTCAGAATGGAGTACTGACTCTCAGTTTACTGACAGGACACCTGAGCCAGGCCAAGATGTGTCTTCATCCTTCAGCTCAGTTCTAGGCCGGGAGAGCTTTGCTGTGTGGTCTGGAAAGCTCAGGGGAGGGCTGGAAATGGACCATCAGCTGCTGAGCCCCTCGGCTGTGAGGGTGAGGCTCGCAGCACTCGTACCCCTTGGTGGCTCTCACCTCCCCGGCTGCTTCCCCAGTCCCTGACCTCCAGCTGTGGCTTCCCTCCCCTCAGTTCTTCCATGGGTCCACAGGGAAGAAGGGCCCATTTCCTTCCGGGATGCTGTGCTCTGGTAGCAGAGACGGCCCAAGGCTTCTCTACTTGGCTCTGAGGCCAGGAAACTCTTTACGGTGGCTGCGGCGATGGGTCCCCATCCTGTGGAGAATCAAGCCGCCCTCTGGCACCAGGAGCCCCCGTGCCCCCGTGAAGGCTGGGCAGATGAAGAGGGGGCTGTCATCAGACCCCAGCCTGAAGAAGGGCCTTAGGGGCCCAGAAAAGGGTGAACGGGGACATGTGTAGATGTGTGATCTGTCCCTCATGTTATAGAAGGAGATATCTCCGGCTTCATAGTCCAGAAAGATGCCCACCCGGCGAAGACGCTCTTTCAGGGGGAGAATCTTCTCGGGGGAAGAAAGGGCCCGGTACTGGTTTCCAAACATCTCCAGGGTCCAGAAGCCATTCTGGGGGACCAGTAGGGCCTCCCCTTTCCTCTCAACACTGCCTCTGCAAACCCCCACAGCCCACACCATCACGTTTCCAACCTCCACCTCCCAGTAATGCCTCCCTGAGGAGAAGCTCTCCAGGCCCAGCACGCAAGGCCGGCAATCGAATCTCTCCGGGTTGTTGGGGACACTCTGCCTGGAGGGGCCTCGTCTCACGCTTCTCCGGTCCTCTGTCAGGAAGAGCTCAGGATGAGCGGTGTCCGGATCCAGGACCACATCGGCTGCAGAAGAAGTCTCTGGTTTAGGCCTGGGGTCTTGGGGGATGGTGCTATTCCTGGACCCCAGGGAGGTCCCAGAAAGGTGGTGGGAGACCCCTGTGTGGTGGCCTTTTCCACGAAGGCCCCTTGATCACAACTCCCAGGGAGCTGGCTCACAGAACCCCTGAGACTGCACTTCCGCCCTGTCTGACAGGAGCCTGGCCTCAGGTAGGGGATCATCTGGGCTCTAAAAACGTGGGAAGTTTAGCAAAGGAACCGAAATTCATGGCTCCCGCTTTCTCTCAACATTCTCCACTCTGTTCCCTTTTCTATTCAAGACATATGGTCTCTGGGACTCTTTTTAGTCAGGAATGTTCCAATTTGGCTTAAACCAACCAAGAGGCCCACCCCACCCCCTCTCCCAGTGAAGCAATTAATGCCAATTTCCCCAGCAGACTCCTGGGTAGTCAAAGTTCCTTTCATTGGTTCTCCAGATTCTACCAGTTTCACCAGCTGACTACTGACTGAGATGACTCCCAAGGGCATCCCCTTCCCAAGGGAAAAAGGGAAGGTCACATCTCCACAACCTGCTTCTGCAAGGGTCTGACCTCTCTGGATGTAGGAAAGGCTTCCAAGCCCTGCCATTCTGCAGATCGCCCACGTACTACCACCTCCCTGCTACTCAGCTGGTCTACACTGCTGTCGTGTGAACGTGATTTTCTCCTCTCCCCACGTTGTTGAGATGTCTGACTGGGAGTTTTGAAATTCACCTAAAGAGGAAAGGTTGGAGTACCATGGTAACTGGTAAAGCCTGGATTCCTGGGTGCTTTTGAGCAGAAGGGGAGAACTCGTAAGATGCAAAGTGCTCATTAGGATGAGGCTCTGGTAATAGATGAAATTATGCTAATATCACCTGGGTTCCCTGATGGCAGAGCTGGGACCCAGTGCTGCAGGGGTGTGGCTAGCGATCGCATCCCAGCCCCTCTACCGCCCAGCGCCCCCTGCCCACTTCCTCTAATAGGTCCTGCTGGCTGGGGAGAGGCCTGAGGGCCAGCGGGGAGAGGCTTGAGGGCATGTCCGGGGCGCTCACCGGCATGTAGCAAGGTTCTTCTCCATCCTGCAATGGGACAGACAGACAGACGAGCTTCAGGAGCTGCTGGCTAACAGAGCAGAGCGCAAACCTGCACGGACTACTTCAGGAAATGGTACACTTACGTAGTTCTTCTTCAAGTTGCTCTGACAAAGAAACAGAAACCACTTCATGTCTTCAATAGAAGAAATCAGAGAATCTGAGTTTGTGTTAAACGAGGGAGGGTGGGCCCTTCGTGAACAACCCCCCCCCCCCACTGCTTCTGGAGATTCCAGGAACAATCCATGCGCAGGTGGCTCGATGTTATGGGAACTTATTAGGTTTGTGTCTGTTTGGCAGCGTGGTGCTGAGTCCGCAGAATGGGAGCAAGCAGGCAGAAGTTGGGGGGGGGGTCCCCGGATGCCACAGGTCCGAGCCCCTTGCTGCGGTCTCTGGTCATTTCCTCCCTGTCCCCAGGCCTCTAGCTAACAGAACCGTGGCCCTATGGGACAGCGACCTATCCTCCTATTCTTTTACCTCTTATTTGACATTCTTTCTCTTTTTCCATCTGGTCTGTCTCCAGTTCCTTACATGCAATTTCTTTCTCTTCTTTTTCAACCTCTTTTCCCCTGTGGAGTTTCCTGATGAGACAGATGCTCCCGGTGATGAAGAGAAGCAGAGAAGGCAGGAGGACAACGAGGCCCGCTGCCCAGGGAAACATGCTGGGAGCAAAGGATTCTAAAAAGGGAACCAGAAGAGTCCCATTCAGTGAGAGAAAGGAGACCCCCGATGACAGAGCCCCTCACGATGCCCATGGGAAGTGCTCCCTGGGGTCCCCTCTCCATTGGCTCCTCTCTCCAAAACCCGGGACAGAGACCCTGACTCTGCACTGACTCATCCCATAGCAGTTGCCAGGGCTGGGGGCCCAGGAGCCAAAAAAGCAGGGACCCCTGGGGTCACCATGGGAAGGACCAGGGTGAACACAGCCACCACGGAATCACCAAGCCACCACCCTGCACGAACCACCACTCCTTTTTGCCTGAAAGCTTGCAATTCCCCAATGCCTGCCTCTGTCCATACCCTCTGCAGTCTGTCAGCCCAGCAGGCTGAGTGAGATTCTGCTACTTCTCTGCTCAAAACCCTGTGTCACACAGACTCACCCAACTCTTCCTGCCTTACCACACACCACACCTGCCCCTTGGGGTTCCTTAAAGCTGCCAGACATGCTCCTGCCTCAGGCCCTTTGCATGTGCTGTTCCTGCTCCCTGGTTGCAGAGAAGCAAACAACTCAAGTATCTCCACAGCTCCTTCCTTACTTGCCCAACTGCCATCTTTTCAAGTGAAGACTTCCTTGACCATCCTCTTTATAATTACAACTCCCCTATACCCTAGCACTCCCCGTCCTCTCCCCCAGTTAAGTTTTTCTACAGTACATCTCTCCATCTGATATAATCTACAGTTAAATTATTTCAGTTATAGCTCTCTGCCACCCTAGAATATTAGCCCCATGATGGTAGGGATCTTTGTGTATGCTGTTCACTGATTTATTTTCGATCTTGAGAACAGTGCCTTGAACACAGGTGATACTTTGTTAAGTATTTGTTGGATGAATTCGTGCATGTCTGTAGATAGAAAATCCACCCCCTCCCTGAGTGTAGGGCTCCCTTGCCTGTACCGCTCTCCGTTTATGATTGTTCTAAATACTTAAAAATGGCTGCAGGGGGCACCTGGCTTGCTCAGTCAGGAAAGCGCGGGACTCTTGATCTCAGGGTATTATGAGTTCGAGTCCCATGCTGGGTGCGGAGATTACTTAAATAAATAAATTAAAAAAAAAAATGCTGCAGGATAAGGACCAGGACAGAGAAACAACTCTCAGAGAAGACTCTGATTTTCTCCTTGAGAAAAGACAGGAGGAGAGGCCTTGGGGTTCAGGGCCCCTTGCTTCTATCTCCCCATCCCTATTCCAGGCTCTGGTCTGTCTGAAGACCCTACCTTGGCGTGATGAGCCTCCAGAGGGCAGGGAACCAACCTGGGATGAAAATGATGGTTTCCTTCTCCTGGCCAAGCAGGGTGTTGACCACAGAGCAGGACATGTTCCTCACCGAGCAGTCCCTGATGACCACGGCCGTGGTGACCATGAAGAGGCCTTCTGTGTCCACCGTGTAAGCCTCCTCCAGCACCGGCATGATCGCGCCGTGAGGATCCCTCCATACCACATGGGGCTCCGGGTACCACCCTCCGGACGTGCACTCCAGCTGCATGCCTCCATCCTTCTGGCCCTTCATTTCAATGAGCGGCTTAGAGCCCAGGCCTGGGGACAGAGACCAGGAAGCAGCTAACAAGGCAATGGTGTCTCAGCCTAAGTGTCTTGGATCAGCTCTCCACGGGGAGAGCCAAGGATGGGGAAGGCAGCAAGGGGTCAGTGGCCAGAGAACTGGTTGGGTGTATTCCCTGCATTCCCATAGTCCCCCTTCTGTGAAGGGAGGGAGGGAGGGAGGGATGGAGGAGAGGAAGGAAGAAGGCCCTGGTGCTGGACAGACCATAAGACCAATATGCCAATAAATCGTGAGCTCTCGGAGGGCAGGCTGACAATGCACTTGGCTTCGTGTGCCACCCGTGACCCCATCACAGAGGCACCCCCGTCTGTCTCCCACCAAGTGACTGCCAATTGATTCATTCAGTTAGAGGGTCTCCTTGTCTCACTTGTGGGTGAGTGTCTCTGCTCAACCCGAAACAATCAGGTCGAGGATCTCACTCTCCGTCCCGGGAGGACTTCACAGTGCCTGTCTCCCAAGCTCGGGAATAATCTGATAAGGACAGAAGCCTGCCAGGCCAGCAGAATCTTGGGAAACTTTTTGCCCTCAAGACACAGTCCCTTTTGTCCCAGCTAAAGGCTGCATGTGAACCACAGGTCATCCGGAGTAGTTGGTTTTTGAGAGAACTAGAATGCAGAACCAACCCCTACCCCAGTTCAGAGACATGTACCTCCCAGGGGCTCAATTAGCCAGGGGATGTCCTTGTATCTCTCCACAACATCTACCAATTAGGAAGATCTGGGTGCTCCTGGGATCCTCAGGATCACAATATCACCTGCTCAATGTCAGCAGAACGTCACAGAAAATCCCGAGTCCAGGCTCTTCCCAACTTATTCTTGTCTTTAAAAGGCACGCTTGGGTGGCTCAATTGTTAAGGGTCTGCCTTCAGCTCAGGTCATGATCCCAGGGTCCTGGGATCGAGAAACCTGCTTCTCCCTCTTCCACTCCTCTTGCGGTGTTCTCTATCTAGCTGTGTCTCTGTCAAATAAATACATAAATAAAATCTTAAAAAGAAAAAAATCTCTAATAAAATAGATTAGTGGTTCAAGACCTAGGAGACTTCTGCTTCTTCAGCCAGGGATCTAGAGATCATCCAAAGTTCTTAATGAAATTAAATTAGATTTTATCTTAGAACAGCTCAGCAAAATAAAATTCCTGTTTATTGTTGGACAACACTGTCTCATCCAATCTTTTTTTTTTTTTTAAGATTTTATTTATTGGGGCACCTGAGTGGCACAGCCAGTGAAACATCCAACTCTTGGTTTTGGCGGAGGTCATGATGTCAGGGTCCTGAGATCGAGACATGTGGGGCTTTGCAGTAAGCACGGAATCTGCTTGCCCCCTCCCTTTGCTCCTACCCCCGCTCTCTCGAATAAATAAATTTAAAAATCTTATAAAAAATATTTTATTTATTTATTTGAGAGAGACAGAGCAAGCATAAGTGTGGGGGGAGAAGGGCAGAGGGAGAAGCAGACTTCCAGTTGAGCAGGGACCTGGGGCGGGACTCCATCCCAGGCCACTGGGATCATGACCTGAGCCAAGGGCAGACCCACTGAGCCACAGAAGCCTCACATCCAAACTTCTTTTAAGTAATTCCTTTGTTAAGGCAATCCAAAAAATTAAAAGACAAAATGAAAACAAAAGACAAAATTAAAGCAATCATGTAAGTCTCAGTACTACGGGCTCCATCTGATTCTTGCCAAAAAGAAATAAACAAAAACAAAAAAAACAACTGTACACTGAAAGGCTGGTGCAGAAACTCTGAACTGTGATTAAGACTCAAAAGAATTCGGCAAGTTGGAAGGAAATTCTACGAACAAAATGGGGTTCCACGGGGTTTAGTCAAGGCAAGTTTGAGACAATAGACTTAAAGACAAAATCAGCCAGCCAGTGAACCAACCAACCAACCAACCAACAAAAACAATAAGCAGTTCTACAACTCAGTTCAGACTGGGGCAGGTCAGGCCAAGGTCATGTTTACAGGGAAAGAACAGAGGGTTCCTGCCACATACATACCCATTCTGGTGAGCCGTGCAGTGCTGCTATGAAGAGTCAGGACACCAGGGTTGAGAAACCCTCCTGCCACAATATTTCAATATTTTCTATTAATCTCATATGCCCTTCTAGGTGACAAAGATGGCGTCTCCTACTATCTACGAGTTGAGGCCCCTGTCCTCTAAGCCTTACTTCCATTGGTCAGACTGACTGAAATGCCACTGATTTATTTAGGTGTATTTTAAAGCTCTTCCAGTAGGGTGCCTGGGTGGCTCGGTGGGTTAAGCCGCTGCCTTCGGCTCAGGTCATGATCCCAGGGTTCTGGGATTGAGTCCCACATCAGGCTCTCTGCTCAGCAGGGAGCCTGCTTCCCTTCCTCTCTCTCTGCCTGCCTCTCTGCCTACTTGTGATCTCTGTCTGTCAAATAAATAAATAAAATCTTTAAAAAAAAAAATAAAAAAAATAAAGCTCTTCCAGCCTTCAAACATTTCTTTTAAAGTATAATACACTGGCCCCAAGAGTGAGGTCATACCTTAAAACCATTATTAATAAACTCCTAGAAATCCTGGTTTATATGCCACTTCTATTCTGAAGCCTTGCCCAACTCCTCTGGTCAAATTCTCTCGTTTTCCTGTGGGGCCAACAGGCTTGATACTTTATCAGGCTTTAAAGAAATCATCTGGACATGTCAGACACTCTCACTACACTGGCATTTGGGGAAAGGTCAGAAACGGCAAAATTACTATCAAGATGAAGGATGTCCCTATGTTGTCCCCATGCAGTTACGGACAGTGGCTCTTCTCACTCTGACAGTCAGAGTTCGATGAGAAAGTCTATGGTCCCCTCTCCAAACCCAGCTTCTGGGTGCTGTGCTGGGACTTCATGCGGGGTCCTCTGAGCTCCCGAGAGGTGCAATTCACTCTCACTTCGTTCTCGTTGTGCTCCCCTGTCATCCCATTAGGAAAGCTACTCTCCCAACCCCCACCTTGCAGTCTCAACCCCTCTCTGCTTTATTTTCTCTACAGTGCTCATCACCAGCTAGGATAGTTTAAATATTCTATATTTTTTTCTTAAATATCGTATTGATTGGCTCTCTGCACTCTCTAGAACATGGGCACCATGAGGACAGGAACCTTCGTGTCTTTCCTTCAGTGTTTTGATCTGTTACTTGGAACAGTGACTTAAACATAGAAGTAGTCTGTTAAGTGTTTTCTGAACGACTTATCGAATGTCTGTGATGTGAGGGAGCGCAAAAAGCAATTTTCCCACTCTGAATTTTTTTTTTTTTTTCTCCTTTTAGAAGGTCATGATCCTGGGCTCCTAGGATCCAACCCCGCATCTGGCTCTCTGCTCAGCAGGGAGCCTGCTTCCCCCTCTCTCTCTGCCTACCTCTCTGCCTACTTGTGATCTCTGTCAAATAAATAAATAAAATCTTTAAAAAAAAATTGTCGGGGCACCTGGGTGGCTCAGTGGGTTAAAGCCTCTGCCTTTGGCTGGGGTCATGGTCCCGGGGTCCTGGGATCGAGCCCCACATCAGGCTCTCTGCTCCGCGGGGACCCTGCTTCCCCCTCTCTCTCTGCCTGCTGCTCTGCCTACTTGTGATCTGTCTCTCTGTCAAATAAATAAATAAAATCTTTAAAAAAAAAAAATTGTCATTTCCCCAGGCAATGAGGTTGGGATCATAGTTCCCTCTCCTGTACTGGGAGGACCACCACATGACTTGCTTTGGTCAATGCGATACGAGGCTTCTCCCTCTCCCTTTGCCAGCTGCTCTGCTTCCTTGTACTCTCTCTGTGTCAAATAAATTAAAAAAAAAAAAAAAACACTTTAAAAGAAATTTAGAAAACAAATTTATAGTATCTATTAAAGAGGAAGAGCGGGGCGCCTGAGTGGCTCAGTCAGTTAAGAGTCTGCCTTTAGCTGGAGTCATGATCCCAGGGTCCTGGGATGGAGCCTTCCACTGAGCTCCCTGCTTAGTGGGAAGCCTGCTTCTCTCCCTCTGCTGCTCCCCCTGCTTTTCTATTAAATAAATAAAATCTTTAAAAAAAAAATTATCTGTAGGCGTTAAACACTCTCTCTGGCTCAAGGCTACAGTGGAGTGCTATGTGTGCTTCTCAGGAACTGATGCCCACAGTGTAGCAGGGCAAACCCATTCATTTGGTCCTTGGGGAGGAGGAAGTCACCTTACCTGTTCTTGTTTTGTTTTGTTTTTTAAAATTTTATTTATTTGACAGAGAGAGAGCAAGCACAAGCAGGGGGAACAGCAGGCAGAGGGAGAAAGAGAAGCAGGCTCCCAGCTGAGCAAGGAGCCAGGACTCTGGAATCATGACCTAAGCTGAAAGCAGATGCTTAACCCACTGAGCCACCCAGGCTTCCCACCACCTTCCCTGTTTAAAACCTGCTGGGCTGCAATAGGGCCTGAAGTTAGGAGAGAAACCTCCCCTAAGGGTCACCCTGAAAAAGCAACCAGCAAAATGAAATTACGCACCTGCCACCATCAGGCGCAGGATGGCCTCGTCATAGGATCTGCCTTCTTGGAAGTAACAGTGGTAGATGCCATTGTCGTGGGCTGTGACATTGTGTATGACAAGCACCACACTCCCCGTGTTGATGTGGTCGCTCACCAAGGTGGTTCTTCCCCGGTACTCCTCCATCTGCTCCTCGGTCCTCTCCTGTCCACCCTTATAAACGAGCACTGCCGGGGAGAACTGAGCACGGAACCAGCGCACCTCCATGTGCTCTGCGTCCTTCTCGGGGGACAGGTGGCAGTGGAACATGGTGTCTTCTCCCACCATGGCCAGGACAGGGTCAGCTGGCCCCACGACAGTAAACGGGGCTGTTCAACAAAGGAGCAGAATCAGAGGACACAGTTATCAAAGATCTAAGGCAGGAAAGGAAGCAGATATTCCAGGGGACAAAAGTAATCTTCCTAAGGCCACACCAGAGGATTCTGGGGGCAGGCCGCTGAGGTTGGCTAGCAGCCACAGATGCCTGGTGGGGGTACCCAGTGAGGCTTATATTTATTGGAGCACATATATGCTTCACATATGGAAAGCCGTGGACCTGAAACCGGGTCCACTGTGACCACAGAGTCCATAGAGCACCTCCTGCAGACCCTGTGCTTTGATTTTCCCTAACACTCAAGCTGTCCGTTATGGCAGCCACAGGCCAGCGCCTGCTGGAATGTGCTGTTAAGTGTGAAATACACACAATTTGGAAATGTTAGAGTAAAAAAGGTCAAATAGCTCACTGTTCATATTTTACATTAATTAAAAGTTTAAATAACAATATTCTGGTTATTCGGGGTTAAACAAAATGCATTATCAAAATCTATTTCATCTGTTTCTTTCTGCTGTTCTAAAGGCAGCTACTGGAAAACCTAAAATTGTACGTGCAGCCCGCCTTTGTGGCTCTCCCTGGGGGGCTGACAGTGCTGGTCGACATCCGGGTATCGCGTGCAGAATGCGAGCTGCCAGACCCCAACCGCAGGCCTTCTTCGCTCTTCCTCTCTGTAGACGGCAGTGCCTTCTCTCCCCTCTGAAGAGCTGGCGGGAGCTCGAGGCAGGAGCCCCTACCTGAGAGCAGGCCCAAGCCGCTGACGAACATGAAGGACAGAAGGGAGCGGGGCGCGGAGAAGCGCAAAGCAGCGGCAGCCTCCATCCGCGCCAAAGACTGGGCTCCCTGGAGAAGCAGCGACGCAAGCCCTGGGGGTGCAGACGAGAAATTTGGCACCAGCTCTGATGGAAGTCAAACTTTCCTGTGACCCGCACTGGGATCCTCAGCGCCCCAACTTCTGTGTTGGGCAGCGCCCTTCCTCTCTCTGTAGACTGACTCCTTAAACATTCCACAGATAAGCCACAAGGCGAGGATCCGGGAGGCAGTTTTCTGCCCTCTCAAGCTCACTTCTCTAACCAGAGTTGAGTTTCTTCAGGTGTCACTTGATATCATCCCATACCCTTCCTCGTCCCCCCACCCCCAACCTCCCCTGGAATCCCGAAGGGCACGGGGAGGTAACGGAAGACAGACGAGGCCGCCCCACTCCCGGGAACCCCCGCCTTCCCATCTCACTCCCCACCTGCCGCCCCACCCTCCCTTTCTTACCTTCTTGAATTCTCCACTGCATTTTATCTCCTCCGACTTTCCAATGAAGATTTTCCTATTGTCCTTCTTCTCTCTAATCTCATAATCACAATGGGGAAACAAAACTTGTCGGAGAGAGAAACCCTTTTCTTCGCCACCCCTTAGTCTCTCTGTGTGCGGACGCTGGACCTGGGACCTGGGACCTGGGACCCGGTCCACTGTGACCACAGAGTCCCTAACTGTCATTGAATGGTCTAGAGCCCAGGGCTGGCCAGCTGTGTGTCAACCAGCCAATGGTATCCCTGAGCCTGCTTTCTCACCAGTCACTAGGCAGAATACACACTAAGTTTAAAATCACATAGCTGCGTGTAGCTTTTTGGGATTATCTGAATGTTTAAAAGTCTTTTTTCTAATTTTCAGAAGCAGGAAAACCCCCAGGAGCGGCCTCTTGCGTGTAGACTGATGAGCGTGTAGTGGTTAGAGATGGGGAGGTGATGAGGGAAACAGAAGTGGACTCCCTTCCAAGGCCCAAGGAATGTGTTCCAGTTGCTGGGGTTGTGCGGATGCTAGTGGGGACGCTGGAGAGAGAGGGAGGGAATGCAGGAGGGGTAGGGGAGCTGCAGTAGCCATTATAGACGCCCTGTTATTCATTCAAAAACCACTGAGAGGTATTGAGGAGAGCCCCGTTCCAGTGGGGGCTGGAAGATGGCACCCAGCAAAGGCTTTTTCCGTTGGGCTTCATGGTCTGCCTGTGGATGGTCTGGTTGAGCCAACACCCCCACAGCCACACAGTGCTCCCCTCCCAGAACCCATTCCGGCTACTGTATAGCTTTCTTCTAGAACAATCTTCCAATGCACATTTCTTAGTATTTCCCCAAGTGCCTACATGCTTCCTCCAGAGGCTTCCAAATCCCTGATTCACTTCAGAACTGCACTGGCCTTGTATCCCAGGGCTCAAAGTCCTGACACCCGTTCTCCCGCACCCCCTCACTCCCCCATCGCTCTCCATTTCAGCCTCTGGAGGCCCAGCCTAGCCTTCCTGTCCCCCCTCCTCCGAGAATAGCTCAGAGTGTGGAGGCAGGCGGCAGTGTTCTCAGACTCCTCTGACTCCCGGTTCTGCCTGCTACTCCATCCTGTCCTGTTATTGCTGTGTATGTGGCATTGATGAAGGAAGAGAAGGCAAGCTGGGGACAAAGCAGAAGCTGACACCCCGCAACCCCCACTCTATGGGTATGTGTGACATCCTCAGGTACTCCTGGCTGCCCTAAAGTTAAAACAAATAGTTAACTTGTAGAGATCACAGTCCTCTACAAGTCTCCCTCAGCTTACTTAAAAACGCCCGAGCAAGAGCTTCCAGAAGGAAATGTAAATACAATTAAGGTCTTTGTAACTTGCAGGCCAGAGGCCAAGTGTACTGTTCCCCCAAATTCCCAACTATCTAAATGCTAATGCCTCACTTGAGGGGTCAACAACCTTGACAATGGCAAGGCCTCCGGTATCCAGTGAGACTTCTTTAGCATATGAAAGTTCTTTCCTTACCTCCCTCTTTCCTGACCTCCTCCAACCCCCTCGTACACAATGAGCCTCATCTCACAACCCCGGGCAGCAGGCCCTTCTGCCCACAGGCGCTTTAATAAACCACCATTTTGCACCAGAGACGTCTCAAGAATTTTCTTGGTCGTGGGCTCCGGACCTCACCCCACTGAACCTCACCAATATTCTACAACCCCATCAGCACGAGTGTACATCTTAGCAGGGACTGGAGTTCGTGTTCCCTGGGAGCAACACTTGCCCCGAGTCCTCTCTCCCTTACAGGGCCCCGCCCTTGCTCTGCACTCAGCTGTTGTTCAATGCCTGAGTGAGAAAGCTAAGAGGGAGGCCCCCCACCCAACGTTGTCCATCCAGACACCACCTACCTTTCCTTCTCAGGACCACACCGTGGATGAGAATTGCCCTCCAGAACCTCTCACACGTTCCTGCTACACGTGTGACAGGTGGCGCAGCGCTGGGCCATTCAGTCGAAACCGGCAAGTCCTCTTGATGAAGGAGGCTGAGGACAAAGCAAAAGCTGACCCCCCTGCAACCCTCCCCCACCCCCACTCCTGGGTGGGACACATGTGACATTCTTTAGGAAGCCCCCAGCTATCTTAATGTTAATACTTTGGTAGAGGGGAAAAATGACCTTGACAATGGCAAAGGCTCAAGGCCCCCGGTATCTTTTAGGTCCTCTTTAGCATATGAAAGTTCTATCGAAATCTCCCTTTTCCTTACCTCCCCCTACCCTATCCTACGTAACCTGCCATCCCTCACCACCCCAGGGCAGCAGCTCTTTTGGCCCACGGGTCCTGTGCCCAGGCTTTAATAAACCACTATTTTGCACCAAAGATGTCTCAAGAATTCTTTCTTGGTCATTGGCTCCGGACCTCACCCCACCGACCCTCACCTATGTTCTAGAACTTCATTACTCCCTCTGGCCCGGCCTGGGTAGGGTGTCTGGACGATATCCCATCTCTGTGCATCGGCCGTGGGCAGCAGGGCCACAGTACATGGACATGTACTGGAAGACAGAAGTAACAGCTGCTATGTGGATGGGGCTGGCGGGGGGGGGGGGGGACAGATGTTACCAGGTGTTCCCTACATTCTCCGAGGCAGAGCCTTGTAAAGAATGCTGTTGATGTATAACCCCATGTCCCCTAGGTCCACGTCAGGCAGGCAGTTTCCTGTTAGGTAACAAGTTCCCAGGTGCCTGCTGCTGTTCTCCATCCGAGAGCTTTCTCTAACACTGAGGACGCTTGCTCCTGTGCGTCAATGCAGCCCAACCTGGAGAGCAGGGCAGATGCCACCCCAAGGGGCAACCCTCACCAAAGGGGGGCTGAGACTGTGGGGAAGTGGCCCGGTTTCCCCACCCCTGCCAGGAGGGCTCTGAGCATATGGGGTGGGTCAACTGGGCCCAGGTGACCAGTGACCAACTAGCTAACATACCCTTTCTGCCACTTTTCACTTAGCTGACTTTTTTCCCCCTTTATTTCTGAACTTGGGTTTAGGGGCACCTGGGTGTCTCCATTGGTTAAGCATTTCCCTTTGGCTCTGGCCATGATCCCGGGGTCCTGGGATCAAGCCCTGCATCAGGCTCCTTGCTCAGTGGGAAGACTGCTTTTCCCTCTCCCACTCCCCCTGCTTGTGTTCCCTCTCTCGCTATCTCTCTGTCAAATAAATAAATAAAATTAAAAAAAGAAAAGAAAAGAAAATGAACTTGGGTTTCCTGGGGTCACTTCCCAAGTAGACTGCGGGCACCCAAGTCCTTGACTCAAAAGTCAGCTTTTGAACAAAGAGATGGAATTAGGTAGACATTTTACCAAGCATTGTATCCAACAGTTGGAAGGATCTTTTCTGGAGAAGTGCCCTCTGACATATAGACCTGTTCTCTATAGAGAAACTTTCATGTGTCATTTCCTGTGAACGAAGAATTGATGTCCTTTGCTCCTTTTTCTCCTGGGTTGTTTTCTATTTTATGGAGATTAGCTCTTTCTCCAAGATACGAGTTGTCTGTATTTTCCCCCCATCTTTACCATTTGTCTTTCTTAAAGGTCTAATATTGACCAATTCTCATTGCCTAGCAGAGATTCTGGCCCAAACAGCTTTGTGGGGGAAAGAAGCTTGTCTGGAGCAAGGAGGCTTGGGATGACTGCTCTGTGCCCCACACTCACTGCGAGGACCTGAGTCAACTAAGTCAACAGCAGATGAACCTACACCCTCCATTATGGAGCCTGGCTCAGCACACTGTCCCCGAGGCTGTCCAGGGGCCCCTCCTCTTATGCAGACACGGGCTGTCTTCATCTGGCCCAGGAGGGAATTGGGATGACACAGGACCTGCCTGCCCCAGAGCCCTTTTCAGGCTCACAGCTGCTGTTCTGCACACTGACCTGCTCTATTTGCCCCCAAAGGTGCTGCCTTAGCTGGCGGGCTCTTTCCCTTGGCACTCCTCCACCGGGTTTGGGGCTGGGGACTAAAGCCAGTGGTCATGCGCTCCAGAAGGATCCTGCCATCTTCATAATGCTTAACTTCAATACAAAGTGCTATCAGAGGGGCTCTTGGGTGGCTCAGTGGGTTAAAGCCTCTGTCTTTGGCTCAGGTCATGATCCCAGGGTTCTGGGATTGGGCCCCTCATGGGGCTCTCTGCTCAGTGGGGAGTCTGCTTCCCTTCTTCTCTCTCTGCCTGCCTCTCTGCCTACTTGTCATCTCCGTCTGTCAAATAAAATCTTCAAAAAACAAAACAAACAAACAAAGTGCTATCAGAGCCTAGCACTGTGGAAGGAATAATGAGCCTGCGTTCTGGGGAGCCTCCTGTTTCGGGGAAACTCTCAACGGGCATCAGACAGCACACTCACCTTGGATAACACAAGAAGGGTCTCCCAAGGAGCTGTTTACAAAATGTGGGCAAGAGCTATACTGCAGGGCCAGGAATGGTGGAGCTGGCACCAGCCACCCCCCAGGCGAGGAGGAGGAGAAGAGGAGGCTCTTCTGAAGACCTAGAAGAACCGAGGCATGTAGAGAGGCTCTCTGAAGAGGTGCTGTGTGCG